CACAACGCTCAAAACCTTGAAACAATCCACATGTCCATTGAGAGTGGAAGGATGAATTTTAGCATATTCGTATAACGATCTACTATACATCTGAGAGAATAACTATGCGGCTCACAAAAACATAGATGAATTTCACGTAGAAAATGAGAAAAAGAAAGGGATACATTCTGTGATTCCATGGATACATAGCTCAGTGATAGCAGTCACAACTGTGTTACCTCTGAGAGGTAGGGTGTAATGAGTGGGGGACCCTAGCGGCCTTCTGAGGTTCTGTAGCTTAACACGGGTGACAGACACACAGCCTGTGCAGTTTGTGAAAATTCAATGAGCTCAGCACCTATGACCTATTCACTTTCTGGTATGTATGTTAAACTTTAAGTTAAAAATTTTTACTTAAAAGAAAAAGGAGGAAGTCTAAGGCTTCCATTTAGCAATATGACAAAATAGATCACCTGAACACCATTTCATTACATAGCAGCCAAGAGTATTGGATAATATATAGCCAATACTTTCTATAGATATACAAATGAACTCTCCTGAAAGTGAAGGAAATTCCAAAAGCCAGCACTAGGCTCTGAGTTATCTACCCAGGATGGAGGCGGGGCTGGGAGAGGTTAACAGATAAACTATAAGAAGATGCAAGGCCTGGGGTCCTCCTGGGGTTTAGAGCTAGAGTACAGACCCCTATCGAATGGTAGAAACCCTGAAGGACTATATCCTAAGATTGCCTAAAAGAGAAAAAAAATCCACCCTCAGGTAAAGTAAAACACAAGAACTGTCTCAGCCTGGGCTCCATCTGAAAGAATCAACAATAAAGAAGTCTTTCCTGGAAACATGTAACCATGGAGCTTGTCTTCAGTTATGCCGGGGACCACATTTATGTATTTCCTACTTACACTAGATAACAGACAGACATATGAAGAGTCCTCCAGGGTCATGTCCAGCTTTTTCTTGACTTCTACAGAAAAGCTGTGAGCAGCACAGAAGCCAGAACCCAAAGGATATGTGTCCCTCTATCTTGAGATTTCTCTTGGTCTGATGTTGCATCAGTAGTAATTTCAAGGGAAGATTTTGCCTCAAAGAGAGGCATCTGTACTTCATAATCAAGAAGAAACATAAAAGCCTTGGCTGCTTAGGCATCCTCTACAGAATGAGCTTTTTTGAAAATTATAATGTTTTTGACTTGACATTTAATTCCAGAGACTCTTAATAAACACTGAGACAGCCCCATTCTCAAGGAGCTTTTAATCTTGCACATAGGCAAAATCTGTGAACTCAGGGCATGTTATTAACTCTTCTTTGCTTTCACCAGTTCCTTTAACTGGTCCCTCATATAATATAATTTCAAGATCCTTTCTGACTAGAGTTATTGCACAGGAAGTGCTCAGAGACCAAAGACTAAACAGAAGCCAACCAAGTGAAACAATGAGAGTCAGTTATGGAGGGCTCTTAAATGCTCATGTTCTAAGGCAAGAGTATGGTGTCAGGAGTCTGTTAAGTGCTGGAAGCAATAACAAAGTGATGGAGAAGAAAATACTTGCCTAACACACACTTGAAAAGTTAGAGTGACAGGGAACCTGAGTTAGCTAGAGGAAGGTGGCTGATGCCACCATTTTCCTACAGAGTGATTCTAGTTAGGATGAAGCTTTCTGGATGCTTATTTTACCAAATGATGATTCGCAACAAGTCTGTAGAATCTGGGAGCAAGCTTACCTCAGCTGCTAAAATACAACAGTCTCTATTTACATCCATTTGATTGAGTTCAGTTTTAGAAAATTCTTAAGATCCAGGCGAGCCCCTAAGCAATTTGGAATGTGGGCTTATTCCATGGAGATAAGATTAAATACCTACATAAAATTGTGCTGTTGTTGTTGGTTTTTTTGCTTTCAACAAGTTATTTTCACATCATGTGATACTTAAAACCTAGCTAAATGTGTCATAAAAATAAACAAAAACCCAGGAATATCGCAGAAAGCTAGGATGTTTTTCCATAGCAGCTACTGAGCCCTGCTTACAAAGCCTGTTGGTAGTCCTATAGCTGCTCCAAACTAATAACAAACAGAAAAAAATAAATCTAGGGTCAGTCAGTAGTTTTCAGTAGTTAGACACAATTCATATTTTAATCTAATAATAATGATGCCATTTTCATCATTAGAAAAATCTGGAGAAAACCCAGAGAAAGAAGAAAATTGACCGTGGCTTCGTCTCTTCTCAGGTTACAGCTTTAGTCCCCATTCCTTACCTGATGTTCAAGGCCTCACAAAAATAAACAAACTCCACCACTTTGCTCCTACTATTCTCCGACACAAATTAGTTGCTGTACCCAGTTCGGGTCTCTCCCTGTCCATGGAGCACACCTGGGAATCCCATCTCCGTACCTTTGAGTCGCGTGACTTCTCAGAAGACACGTCTTCTTCAACATCCTACTTCTGCTGCCTACTCGTGGGGCTATTGCCTCTTCTCAGCCCACAATGCTGCCACTGGCCACCTCAGTCCCCACAGAGTAATTGTCCCCATAAGCTCCCACAGCACTGAATGCCAGACTGCATTTGGTACTTGCTTTTGTCCTGATATTTTTGACATTTGATACCTTCAGATCTTATCTCCCCTAACTGGGGAGCTCCCTGAACGAAGAAACCAGATTCCTATCTTTCACTGCATGATGCCCCCCAAAAGCCTGGCGTGGTGGTTCTGTGTCATGAAGCCTCAGGGTAACACTTTCCATTTATCTTTATAAATGTAAGGACAAAAAGATAAAAGTGGGAGGAAAAAAGGGGAAAGGGGGAAATTGTGTGAACGCTGTGATACTTTCAGATATCTGTACTTTGGAAGAATAGATTTTGACCTTTGAAGAAAGCATCAGAAAGGATCTTCCTCTTTTCCTGAGAGGAATTCAAGCAGAGTGCTACCGGTCACCTGTTTTTCCTTTGTGACAGGGATATACTTGCACACCATCAGACTTGGACTGGGCCTCTATGAAATCTGGCCCAAAGCCTGAGAGCACCAGTTCACGATCCTTCCTTGTCCTCTGCATCCTCTTTGCTAGGCAATACCGAGGAAAGCACTGCCACATTTCCTCTGAATATGTCTGACTTGTAGCAATGGTTTCAAAAGCTAATCTGCCAGCTCTGTCCCTGCTGGAACCATCCCAAAGTTGATTGGCTACCCAAGCAAATCACCCTGTGTTTGTCCAGAGTCACTGTTTACAGTGGTTCTCAAATTTTGCTGCATATTAGAACTACCCAGGGAGAGTTCAAAAATCCTTATGCTCAGCCATACCCTGTGCTATTTAAATATAAATCCCTGACGACGGACCGGGCATCAGTGTTTTAAAATCCCGTCCCTCCTCCCTCATTTCAATGTACCATCAAGTTTGAGAAGTGGTGGTTAAACCAAATCCATCAGCAACCTACCCAAATGTTCACTCTGCTGGGGAAACGTTAGAAAAACACTGGCTTATTCCAAAATAAGCACAGGACTGCAGAAGGCAATGCAGACAGGACTTATCTTTGATTACCGGGATGGCTGGATATCTAGCTTGTGAATCAGCCAATCTTTAGCATCTCCATGTTTTTCTCTTCCCTGTGGTCTTTTGGGGCCCCATTAACATCTCAACCTAAAAGTAAACAAGAGGAAGCTAGAAATGACAACAGTACCTTTCACTCTCTATTAGTGGGGGGAGGAGCTCCCAGTGGTTCTTGTCCCTGACCATTCATTAGAATCACCTGTGATACTGAACTACACCAGCGCAGGGCCCTCATCTCAGAGATGCAGGTTCAAGTTCCCTAGAGCTACATTTCTTACCATGTGGTCTCCGCACCAGCAGCATCTGTATCACCTGGGAACTCCTTAGAAATGCAAATTCTCAGACCCCATCACAGACTTACTGAATCAGGAATGGGGCAAGGGGAGAGGCATAAATCTGTGTTTTAATAAGCCATCCAGGGAATGCTGATCATGCTGGAGACTGAGGACCACTGGTCTAGGGAGGACCAGTGATTTTGAAGAGATCCATAAGTGTTTCTACTGGGCAGCCTAGATGGAAGTTCATGGGCAAAATACTACTGGCTTAGGCAGCTGACACTTGTCTTTTAATTGCACTTTCCATGTTCTCCCAATGTCCAGTCCTCCAGGGAAGACAGGATGCCTTCCACTAGGGTATGAGACTCCTGCATTATGTAAAAATATAATAGATTCAGGGTTGGTGTGTTCAGTCATTTCAACAACTGGATTAAGTCATCAGTGAAGCCCATCTAACGACTCAACTCAAACATTTGTCAATAAAATGTTCTGTCCTCACCATCTCTCCATCAAATGAACCGACTCTCCTCCAAAATTAAAATAGCCAATTAACAGTGACTCCATAGCTAAATATAACCATCTTTTTATTCAAAAGGATAAAAGAGATACAAATATGGATGTGAAGCATCTACTTCATTTTGAAATGGGCCTTTGGGTCAAAATGTCATGCTTCAATTGGGCATCTATCTCTTCCTGCAAAAAGAACTTAATGGCTTAAATAGCTCAGGGTTGTGTGTGTGTGTGTGTGTGTGTGTGTGTGTGTGTGTGCAATGATGGCATTTAGAATTCTAGCTTTCATGCAGTCTCAGAAGAGAAGCCTCTGGCAAAATATGCAATAAATGGGATCTTTATATGAACATCAATTCAAACTTTACATAAAGGAAGTTACTGTGTAATGACTAATGCTTCAAAGAGTGGCCAAAAGGCTGGTTGTTCTCCTCTTGTCCTCCCTTTGGCTGGGGAAGAGGGCAGCCAAAGCCAGCACTTACCTCTACTGGCACTCCAATGCTGCTTCATGAGGAAGGGGGCAATCCTATGATTAGCTGATGTCTCTGAGAACCTTTGATGATAAGAGATCTACTAACAGCCTTAGACAAGAGAAGTGGCTGAGATTTCAAGCATGCCTCTCTCTACCTATGCATCAAAGTCAACAAGGCTGTTCACTCATGAGCACCCCAATCTGTATACTGAGAGTTTACCTCGAGGACAGTAGATGTCTGGAGCCCATCGGTTGCACTCATAATTGTCTGCTGCCTTTTCACAGGTGAAACACTTAAATCCACCAGGATATGGCGTGGCTAGAAAAAGGATCAAGAGAAAAAATTAATTTTTTAGACTGAGCACAGAATCCTGAAGGTAGACATTTTCATTTTTTAAAAAGGATTCTAAAACCTGGCAGTTTCTTACAAAACTAAACATGTAACTACTATATGACCCAGCAGTTACACTCTGGGGCATTTATCTCTGAGAAATGAAAACTAAAAGTCACACAAAAGCCTATATGCAAATGCTCACAGCAACTTTATTTGTAATAGCCCACAACTGGAAACAATCCAGATGTCCTTCAATGAATGAATGGTTAAACACACTGCGTACCTCAATACTATGGAATGAATACTAGCAATAAAAGTAAACTATTAATACATTCAACAACTTGAATGAAATTCCAGGAAATTATGCGAAGTGAAAACAAAAGCAATCCAAAGGTTATATTCTGTATGATTCCATTTATTTAACATTTTTAAAATGACAACATTTTAGAAATGGAGGCAATATTAGTGGTTGCCAGGGGTTAGGGATGGGAGCGGTTGGGGGGCAGGGTGAGAGGAAGGTGGGGGAGGGGAGGCTTATAGAAGGGATTCTTGTGCTATTAAAACTATTTAATGTCTTGACTTGGTGATGGATACACAAACTTACACATGTGAGAAACTGTGTAGAACTAAATATACACACATACAAATGAACACAAGGAAAATTGGGGAAGTTTGAATAAGACAGGTGGATTGACTATATCAATGTTAGTAACCTGGTTGTGATATTATTCTATAGTTTTCAAAATGTTACTGTTGGGGGAAAGTGGGTAAAGTAAACATGGGATCTCCCTATATTATTTCTTATAGTTGCTTATGAATGTACAATTGTCTCAATAAAAATTTCAATTAAAAATAGGCACTCTAGGGGCACCTGGGTGGTGTAATTGGTTAAACATCCAACTTTGGCTCAGGTCATGGTCTCACAGTTTATGCATGAGTTTGAGACCCACATCAGGCTCTGCCCTGGCAGTGAGGAGTCTGCTTCAGATTCTGTGTGTGTGCGTCTCTCTCTCTCTGCTCTTCCCCCGCTTACACTCTCTCTCAAAAATAAACATTGAAAAAAAAATAGGCACACTAGATTTCCAGTGATTCATTTTTATGTGTCCACTTATATAGCTATGTCGATATGTAAATATAAATATTAGGTTGAATCATTAAAAATTTCCTTATGTTTGACCATTTTTGACCTATAAAAGTGACAATTTCTCTGATTCAATCTGATGTCTTTATCTGGTTGACTTGATATGGTTAAGAATGCCCGGGGACGGTAAGTATCAGCTAAGAAGAGTCTTCATTACTAAAATCTATGCTGTGCAGAGGTGACCCTCCTAAGGGCTGTCTTGGGCCCATATCCAATGTCCACAGGGCAGCATGCTGAAGGCACATGTGGATATGGAGGCATTACAGGCTTTTAGCTTGTGTCTGAGGGATGGGTAATTGCAGGAGGCCCTCCTAGCCCTCCCCCTCTCCACCCCTTAATTGGCCCTTCCTGCCTTCTGAAGAGTACAAGTACTCTAAAGGTACTTGTATCCTTGCCTTCATTTATGCTCAGGCACAGGGGGGGTCTGGTGAGTCATGCTCTAGAGAGTGCCCGGCGCATGCAGGGCCTGGTGGGCATTTAAGGATGAGCATCCATAGAGGATGCCAGGAATGCCAGGTTGTCGCTGTCCTTTTCGCTGATGCGCTCTTACTTGCACTGATATGCTTTTACTTACTCAACTTAGAGTTTTGCCTCTCGTAAGCAGAACTTTCGTATTTTTTTTTTAATTTGTAAAATTACCTGGCCTCTTTGAAAACTACAAACACTCAAACACTTCATCTTCAGGAGCCAACTGTTCTCCCTCGCAGATGGCTGAGCCTGCACATCCCACTGGTGGAAATAATCATCTCAGGGTAAATTGCTTTGCCCACATGGAACCAATTAAGTATGTTATCAAAAATAAATGAAGGAGGAGGCAGCAGCTTAAGGCCAAAATTATGGGCCAGATTTAACTTTGCTTTTCACCTTGCATAGAAGAGCTTGCAGTATCTCACAGAGTTGACTCTGACAACAGTCAATAACCTAACATGATCAAAACTCAAACTGTCTAAAAAAGACAAATAACCGGACATTTTTAGGGGCCAACTATGTTCCTGCAAGTAGTTGGTGAGTCAAGTTCATAAGCATAATGAAAGTGAGTGCATGGACTGCCTTAGACTGTGAGGGACAGAGAGCGGCCATCCAACTGCTTCATTCCCAATGAGGAAATGTCACTGTGGGGAAACACGTTCTCCCTAACATACAGTTATAGTAAAACAGAAGTAAACTATTTTGTAAAACCGCACACAAATAATTTTTAGGTCTCCACATCCCACCATCAAGATAGGTGGGTTACATTTGTATTGAAAGATTCTACTTAGATATGCACACCTGAAGAATTAAACACAAATAGCTTCCTGAATTCCAAAGACATTAAATATTCTTATGGACCCTTAAATTAGCTTATTTTTACAAATATTGTTATGAGAAAACCCATACGAAATATTTTAGGACACTGTCCTATCGGATACATTAAAAAAATAGTTTCACTATCAATTTAAAAGTGTGTCATATATTGGGACAGCTGGGTGGCTCAGTCGGTGGAGCTTTGGCTCAGGTCATGATCTCATGATTCCTGAGTTCCAGCCCTGCATTGGGCTCTCTGCCATCAGCACAGAGCCCACTTCAGATCCTCTGTCCCTCTCTCTCTCTGCCCCTCCCCCACTTGCACATGCTATCTTTCAAAAGCAAATATTAAGAAAATAATAATTTAAAAAATATGTAATACATAAATAAGTTTAAAGGAACTTTAAGGCAGCTGGTAAAATTTGAAGAATTCTCCAAGTAAGAGTTTTGAAAAAAAAAGATGTAAATGATTTGTCAAAGAAAAGTACTTCTCAAAAACTTATCATCATATTCACCAAGGTTTCTGACTGCAAGCTAGCCGTACCACTTCAGCTTGCATGATTAATTCACAAGAGCATCCAATTTTATCTGTCTGTCACTGCAGCCAGTAAAACTTTTCACTGGAATGTTGGACTAGTGATTCCTGGAAACTTTCCCATCAAAGAGATAAATTAAGAACTCTGAATGAAGATTGATGATCCAGCCACTACAAGAATAAACTTATTGAGAACCTGGCACTAATAGGTTGTAGTGTTCCCAAATTTGGATTATTTAATAGATTCTTCAAAATGATCTTTTGCAAGACGAGTGACATATTAAATTAAATACTGTCATTTCTTACACAGATAGGCCTGGGTTCTGAAATTAACCCAAAGTATAGAAAAACTTAAATAGGAATATGGGCTAAAGCCCTATGGTAGCAAAGTGAAGCTTTGTTCAAATCATTTGAATCTGAATGCGTTTATCAGCACATATCATTTACAATTAATCAGATTAAATGATCTTATTTTCGGTGAGTTTTACTTTTAAATCTACAACTTCGTATCTGTGTGATTGTCAACCATGACAGCCTCGTACTGCTTATAGGAACTTGTATTTGCACCTTGGGAGGTACTACTGATCAGTGAATAATCAAACCCTTTTCAATGACCTGTCTCCAAAACAGACTCAGCTTTAAGTGGCCAGTTATAGCACAATACCACATAAATGGTTAAGTTCCTCCCTCTGGAAATATTTAACCAAAACTAAGGTCTACAGATGAGCAACTGTCTCCAGTAACTTGCTAATTGATACTGCATCTGATAAAGAAGTTCTTTTTTTAAAAGGAAGGAAGGAGGTTCCTAAGAGATGTGTTATTTTCTTCTTTGTTACTTCAAAGCATTACAGAGCAAGTAGAGTTTCAAACCGTTGTGGCCCCAGCTGTGAATGAATCTAATTTGGCTCTTGATCACAGAGTTAATAAGCTTAGTGTTCTGTATTTCAGGGCATAAGTCCTTGGTCCCTCAAGAGTAGGTGATTGTAAAGAAAAAAAGAAACGCCAAAGTGCCCAGTTACTTCCTGTAATGTAATCTGTCCATTAAGTCTCATGGTCAGCCATAGTTCAACCGACTATAATTCATTCGTAAGGCGATGGAAGAGATTTCATCTTTGTTTCCATCTCTTGGAACTTCTGCCTGGACAAAGGCCTTCAGTTTCCAGAACTGTGGTGAGAAGGGAATCTTGTTTTAAAATGTATGCTGATAGGTAATGCATCCAAACTTGTTTTATTCTTGCCAAGTTAATTTCCATTGTTTTTGGAAACTGGATGCAAACGTAAAATTTCTAGAAATCTAATAAATTGATCTTCTTTCTCAGTCTATCTAGCAACAAAATATTGTCAGTGTAACTTGAATACTATGAATGTATTTCTGATGGCAATGCATTTCCTGGTACCTTTCCAGAAAGTGCCCTTACTCCCTAAAACTTGCATAGTCTGGAATTATGCAAAAATGTCATTGGCTCACTATGTGGGCATAAACAAGCCCGCTCTAGGGATATAGCCTTTGTTCAACGTGACTAAGGAAAGACTCAGAATATGCAACCAGAGGAAACCTGGATTTCTCAGGAAAGGTTTCTAGTATAAGTAAAGAAATGGAGGCCAAGAACTGGTTGAAACCACGTAGGATGTTAAATTCTGTGATCTCGTGTGACATCTAGAAACCAAATAAGTCACTCCATTTCTCTGAATACTAACTCCTGTTTTGAATGTTTTATTAGTCTTTGGTATTTTAATTATAGGGTGGGAAGAAATTCATCATTTTTCACATGAAAAAGAAAACAAATTATAGAAAAGAATGTTATTGAGGACAGTGCCTCAAATTTGAAAGCCATAAAGTTGATTTCTTTTAAATTTTAGAATCTTCAAGTATTAGGGGACCAGGGAGCAAGGGAGATTAGTCATGGGATGCTGAACTTTCCCAACCAGGGTTTCAATCTCAGTCCCCTTACGATCTCTTAGGGCTACTCAGAGCCCATGGCAAATGAGTTTGCTTGCCTGGTGTGGAAAACTTGTGTGCCTTCTCAACATCTCTGGCATCATTGATTTCTCCTTGGGTAGGTTCCGAGCAGTAGCTAACATTAATGGAAACTGAATCTCTTGCTGACCCCAGAAAAGCTGTTTGTGCCTCCATCTACAAAGTGAGGTGATTATATCAATAATTCAAAATCAGAATAATCCCACACCTCCCTCATGTATTTTTTATGGTCTATGTTCTACAGAAACCTGCTTCTTTGTAGAGAGATCACTCCATCTAAACCTGGTCTAGTGGGTGCTGCTCAGGGGCAGAGGACCATGACCTTTTAAAAAATCAAAGTGCAAAAACAAGCAAACAAACATCAAAAACTTCTGAAATACTGTGGGGGAAATGTGCAGTAGGAATCACTGACAGTAAGAATTTTTACTCCCCATGACCAGTCACGGAGGCTCTAAAAAAAAACTCTGCCCAGAACTGCTGGTGAATCATCTATGTCTAATCTAGCTTCAAAATGACATCCTCTATCGTCCATATCTCAAAATCATATCAGAAAACCCCACCAAGTTTTTCTATATGGTGAATTCTTTTTAATCAGGCCATGGCCTACTTAATTAACATAGGCCACATAAACTTTCCCACCAACTTCTAGAGAGCAGGAGTGATTGCTCCCCTGGCCTGGCAGAGCCCATGCTTCAGAGATTTCATTCCGAAATGGACTTTTCGGATAGGGGCCTATTCAACCCAGGCACTGATCCCCCCTAAGACTGGCACAGAAGTGGTGTGTGTGTTTGTTTTATTCTTGCTCACTTACATCCAATCCCCTTGATTTCTCTTCCCACTCTGTGTACAATCACAGCCTCAGAAGAAGCCTGTCTTTCAGCGAGGTGACCACTGAGTCAGTCACTGAAGCGGATGAAAAGCCCCACAGAAGCTGAAGGATTTAGCAATCAAAACCGAGATTGAAATTCAGATTTTTGTTCACCAAGTCTAATAAAAAAGCATGGCTCTTTAGAGAAAAGAACAAAAGGCAATCCTAAAAAACACAGCAAGTATCAAAGCACCTTCTTTTCATGGTTACTAAAATAAACAGCCCTCCAAAAACAAGCAGCCAGAGAATCTTCCCACACAATTAACCAGTAGGCACCAGCCTTTTACTGGTGAGAGTACACAATAGCAGTAAGACTGAAGAAACTATTTGCTGCGTGTCAAAGTGTACTTGGAGTTAAAAAATTAGAGGGATGCATTTTCAGGAACCTCAGTTTACCATCTAAGCCAATTACAACATCATAAGCAACAAACATCCAGTTGCCTATTATATATGTGCCTACTATTTTATGGATATTATCTCTAGTCCACAAAATAATGCAACAGGGTGTATATTATTTCAACCACTCTAGAAATGTGGAAATTAACAATAAGATTCCCCTAACATTTATTGAGCATTTATGTTGGCTCACACGCATCTAAGTGCTTTGTATGCATTCCTTTATTTAATCTTCACAAAGTTAGGGAATTTATTTCAAGCCAGAAGGCTACAAAGCAGTTGAGCTGGCCGCTGACCCAAGATCCAAGCCCCTGTGCATTCCTTGGAACACCTCTCATCTAAACCAGAATACATACACATTAATCATTCTAACCGTGTAGCGCTGAAGGAATCCATGTTGCTGTCTCCACTTAGTGGACTATAAGAGCCTCAAAAGCAAGAACTATGTTTTATTTACCTTTATATTTTCCATGCCTATCACTACGCTTGACACACAGCAGACACTCAAAAAATGTTTGCTGAACAGAACGTTTCAAAAGAATAATACACCTCAGGGCGAATGCTAAAGGTCCATATATACCCATTATACCCGGCTCTCACCACCACAGGGGCAATGCAGAAGAGGATTCAAACAGAAATAAAAGATAAGATAAAGACAGAGATGGAGACCCAAACAGCAAGTAAATCTTCTGTGTTTCCCAAAGTGTGATCCTTAGAATATGTAACAGAAGCATCTGAAATTCTTGCTAAAAGCAAAAATTCATGGGTATCGTCCAGATATGTGCAGTCAGACACCCCAGGAAAGGGATCTGGGCATCTACATTATTATGCACTCACTCCCTAGACGATTCTTAAACACAGGAAACCAAAAGGGATAGGGAATAGGAAGTTGTGGGAGGCAATTTATGCTGAAACTGAGAATCAGATGCACAGACAGGAAGACCAGCTATTATCTTGCCTATAAAGGACTGATCTTTTACAAATACCTTCCTCCTGGGACATGCCGGTTCACTTTGATAACTGATTGAGAGCTGGCACAAGTTAAAGGGAAGGGTGTTCAGAATCAGAGCGATTGTGCTGGGAACAGAGGAAACAAGCCTTAACAATTTGCCTTAAAATAAAAAAACAGACACCCTACAAAAAGGTGAGGGTAAAACATACAACATCTTCAGTAGCACCTGCACCCCCCAATTAAATCATCCAAGGTTCCCCTGCATGGAAGGCTGCCTTCTCCTGTCCATTTTCAACTCACATCTTATTCAAAGCAAAGTGACATTTCTGCAGTGAAGAGAACAGAGTCTTACTTGAAGGGTGGAGGTAGACAATGTCTTTCACTGTGAAGTCTCGCGACTGAGCGGCTTTCAGACAATCCGCCAGCAGGCTCAGGAGCAGGAGCCAGGCCAGGGCAGGGCCAGGTTCCATGGCAGACTGAGGCGTCACTCATACAGGGGGCCTGGGAGCCAGGACTTGGGACAATGGGAGAGAACTCGCACCTGAAATATAAAATAAGACTCATCTCAGTGTCCCACTCGAGGAAACCAGGAGAGACCTGGCAGAGCTCCTGTGTTGGTAGGATGGGCTGGAGGGAGACAGGGAGCCAAAGGCACAAGAAAGTGGATAGACATGGAGAGAAACTTTAGAAACAGTAACTTTAGAGCACTTAGAACATTCCAGCCCCAATCTATCCCGAATCAGGTAGCTAACGCTCCACTGGTATCCAACCCCCCTAATATCCAGCAGAGATGGTATCAAGAGAGATTGAATTTTAATGAAATCCAGGAGGATTTTGCCAGAAGGCTAGGGGATGTCTGCCAGAATGCAACATAAATAAGTACAAAAGTTCAGAAGCATTTCCTTGATAGTGGTGACAGCCAGGTATGAGAGTGCAGACGTCCTGTGTCATGGTGCTCAAGCAAACCTACACAAGGTAGGCTTTCATATTCGCGGTGGGGGGCGGGGGTGCGCGAAGAAATGTAGGTAAGTTGGCCTCTCCCAAAACACAAAGTGCCTTTACAGCTCAAAATCTCCTTAACTAATAATATTGGCCGGCTGCTGTTGAAGCCCTTACAAATATATCACTTAATTCCCCCAACAACCCTATGAGGGTTACCCATTTTCAGTAAACTGAAGTCCAGCAAATAAGCAGAGGAGTTGATTCAAACGGAGACAGTCTGGCCACTGACTCCACATTTGCAAACTCTAGGCGATACTCTGTTCTTCCAAAGACTGATTCAAGGTGTATAAACTTAAACTAATAAAATGAGGTCAAAGGATCCCAGTAGCACTAAGCAATCATCATTTTATCCTTTATTCTGGTTCTGTCCTTTTCAATTAAAATTGAGAGCAGTCAATTTTTTTTTTCAACGTTTTTTTGTTTTGTTTTGTTTTGTTTTTTTATTTATTTTGGGGACAGAGAGAGACAGAGCATGAACGGGCGAGGGGCAGAGAGAGAGGGAGACACAGAATCGGAAACAGGCTCCAGGCTCTGAGCCATCAGCCCAGAGCCCGACGCGGGGCTCGAACTCACGGACCGCGAGATCGTGACCTGGCTGAAGTCGGACACTTAACCGACTGCGCCACCCAGGCGCCCCGAGAGCAGTCAATTTTTTTACTAGGGTTCAACTGTCCAACTTACTAGGAATGTAGATATATATCTTAATTTATACGTGTTATTTTCTTGCCATCTTATTGCTTTCCTGTAGAGTCTGTTCTTCAGGCTCCACTCTTTTGCAAATACCATCATTCTATTGCCCACAAAAGGGGTGATGTTAGATATTCACCTTATTTTAAACTGGTGGAGAAAAAAAAACCAACACCATTTGGACATTTTGTTTACAAATTTTAACACAAAGATTCAATGAGATTTTTAAAAAGGCATAACAAAATCCTAAAATTATTTTGTCAAAATAAATAGATCAAGAGTAAATATATTACAAAACAAAATCAATACAGAAAATCAATATGAACTAATCAGATATTAATGAATACTAATCAAAACAGGATAGAAAATATAAAAATAAATACAGAAAATAGAACACTCGAATAGACACAACAACTGACATAAGTGGTTTTTTTTTTAAATTACAGAACAGGAAAATACAAAATGAATAGTATTATGATAACTTAATTAAAAATTGTGAAGATTAACCAAAACCAAACAATACACAATGCACTCATATGAACTCCAGATGGATCGATGCATTCATTGTTCTTTAAAAAATCGACAAACTATTAGGAAATAAGAGTAGAAATCTTATCACCCTGTGGCAGCTTGATGATGCCAGCCTTGCCAATTTCATGCTCATTCCCCATCTTCCGTTTACATTTGGTTCCCCAGGCGAATGTGCATTCAAGAGGAGAATAAGCTGCTTGCTCCCTTAATGAGTGTGGCTGCCAAGCACCGTGTTAGGCACTTGTTTGAAAAACATGGTAAGAAAACAAATATTCATGATATTTCTCCTCCGCCGAATGACAGAGACCAACATGATCTCATCTTAAATGAACGCAGTAGTGCTCCATTTTACATCCACTGTGGCCAGGTATGGTTGCACCTGAGGAGCAAATCTACCCTGCATCATCACGCCTCAGCTCCTCACAGTCTGCAGCAGGGTCCAATTTGAGAGGGATGGGGAGGAAAGCTATCGGGTTTTATTTTGATATAACCTAACATTAAGTATCAACGAGCTGCCAACCTAAGTTCTTTTTAATGTGAACCTCACTGTCCACACCAATACTTCATATGTACCAAACAGTGCATTTATTAAAGCATTTCTCGGGGCGCCTGGGTGGCGCAGTCGGTTAAGCGTCCGACTTCAGCCAGGTCACGATCTCGCGGTCCGTGAGTTCGAGCCCCGCGTCGGGCTCTGGGCTAATGGCTCAGAGCCTGGAGCCTGTTTCCGATTCTGTGTCTCCCTCTCTCTCTGCCCCTCGCCCGTTCATGCTCTGTCTCTCTCTGTCCCAAAAATAAATAAACGTTGAAAAAAAAAAAAAAAAGCATTTCTCAATCACAGTATTCCTCCGGTTACTGGTTTAAAGGTCTCCCTCTGCACAGTACTCACACTAAGCATTATTTAATGCCATCTGAAATTTACCTTACCTCCGTAGCATGGTTACCAGCCACAAACCCTCGTTCCACAGCATGTGTGTGCTACATCTGAGCAAAGAGGTAAAGAGCTAGATGCCTGGATTTGAAACCTTGCTCCAATGCTTTCTTTCTGTGCAACCTTAAGTCAGTTACTTAACCACTCTGTGCCTCAGTTTCTTCATCTGCAAAATGAGGATCATAATGCTACCTACCTCAAAAGTTTATTACGAGAATTAGGTAACATAGTATAAAGCACTAAGAATAGTGTCCATCACACGGTAAATACTGTACAATATTTCCCAATATTTTTACTACTACTGTTTTGTTCAAAATGTAGTTTTAAAGTCAATGTAGTTTTCTAAGTAAAGGTAACTATGATGCAAATGTTGTCTTCTAACTGAAAGTAAATATGGTGCCATTTATTTGGGTTCAACACACAGCTAGCTCACTTTCCTTAAATCAAAAAAATATAACAATTTCCCGAACTACTATGTATGACAAATCACAATCCACACGTCTCTTTCTCCCCAGCATCTGCCCCATGGCCAGCCAGGCAGGGAGGGACAAAGCAGGTGCAAGACAGAGGAGGGCACGTCTTGCCACCAACATTATGATATTGCCTAGGCTCATGCAGACCCAGGTGACCTCCTGCCATCCTTCATCAACGAAGCAAACAGATGGGTGATGCCCATCTACACTCTCTCCATATCTCCTCCAAGCCACCCTCCAAGGTCTATGTCCCACCTCCATGACCTTTACATTCCCCCTTTAGTTAGATTTTACTTGTATAAAAGATATTGAGAGAGCATAGGTCTCTTATATCCCTTTGAAGCACATGTCTCCATTTTGTGTGCTCACACATGTGTTTAGAGTTTCCAAATTCTTAAAATAGTTGAAACTTGATTATCCCAACACACTTTACTCATGAAATTGTTCCTTTTTTAGAAAAAAAAGAGGAAGTATGTATTTTCTAGGCTTATGTATCATTAGAAAAAACACCAAGGGGCGCCTGGGTGGCGCAGTCGGTTAAGCGTCCGACTTCAGCCAGGTCACGATCTCGCAGTCCGTGAGTTCGAGCCCCGCGTCGGGCTCTGGGCTGATGGCTCAGAGCCTGGAGCCTGTTTCCGATTCTGTGTCTCCCTCTCTCTCTGCCCCTCCCCTATTCATGCTCTGTCTCTCTCTGTCCCAAAAATAAATAAACGTTGGAAAAAAAATTAAAAAAAAAAAAAAAAAAAAAAAGAAAAAACACCAAAATGGTTTAGAATTTCTAATTATTTTAATGGTTTTCTTTTTGCTTAATTTGTATGCTCAAAAATTTCTGATAAGCATGTATTACTTCAGTAGAGGTTTTTTTTTTTTTTTTTGTATATTCATAATTTCGTACAACCATCACTCAGTCTGGAACATTTCCTTCAAAACTCTTGTACCCATTAGTGGCCACTCCCAATTCCCTCCTCTCCCCACCCCTGCAACCACTAACCTACTTTCCATCTCTATAGATTTGCCTATTGGGAACATTTTCTGTAAACAGAACCATACAACATATAGTCTTTTGTGTTTGGTTTCTCTCAGTTAGTATGATATTTTCTAGATAAATCCATGTGGTAGCATGAATGGGTATATCATTCCTTTTTGTGGCTGAATAATATTTCAGTACATGAATATAACACATTTGTTTATCCATTTATCCCATTGACAGACATTTGGGTGTCTTCCATTTTTTGACTACTGTGAATAGTGCTGCTATTAACATTCACATTCACACTTTTGTGTGGACATATTTTTAAGTTTTCTTGGGTATATACCTAAGAGTGGGATTGCTGGGTTTTATGGTAACTCTGTGTTTAACTTTTTGAGGAACTGTCCATCAGTTTTCCATTGTGACTGCACCATTTTACATTTCCATCAGTAAAAGACCAGTGTTCCAACGTTTCCACATCCTCACCAACCCTTATTTTCATTAAAAAATAGTTTTCATTATAGCCTAGTAAGTGTAAAGTGGTGTCTCGTTGCATTTCCCAAGTGACTAATGATGTTGAACATATTTTCACGTGCTTATTGGCCATTTGTATATCTTTTTGGGAATAATGTCAACTCAGATCCTTTGCTCATTCTTTAAGGGGGTTATTGTCTTTTTACTGTTGGGTTATAAGAGTTCTTTCTATTTTCTAGACTCTGGACACTAGATCCAGACACTCAGATCATTTGCAAATGTTTTCTCCCTTCCTCTTGACTTTTCACTTTCTTGATGGTGTCCTTTGACATACAGAAGTTTTAATTTTGATGAAGCCCACACATTGCTTTTTATAAATATAGATTTTGTTCCCATATACAAGTCAAGCCCAACATAGCACTAAAAAAATCTGCACACAATGCACAGTAAAAGAACTTGTCTACTTTGTAGTAGCC